AGCGACCTCTTTGTACTTAGACCCCTTTTTACTGGCTCACTAACGTAAGTAAGGTAAAGGGGTGTTTTTCAGGGTACAATGTGGATGAATAGCTTTAAATTGAGGAAAAAATGAGGCTGGGTCCATAAAACGGGATCAAAAAGCAGTAAGCAGCACTACTGACAGTTACTACTCGATAGCCTTGGCATGGCCCCATCTCATTTTTGTTGTGAGGTCCCACCGAGGTATTCCTTAACCGGTTCAACTGCAAAGAACGCAAATTGAAGTACAGTCGTAGCTGGCGCAGCATCAGGACGGTAAAAATCCAGTGTAAGAACACATTTCAGTGTTGAGCCCTCATAGAATGCCAGGCAAAAGTTTGACGCGTCGCAACCGCTCGCTTGATTTCCATGTGCTACGTCTGTGGGCTAAGTAAGGGCATACACTCGCTAATTTTACTCCGACAATGAGTTTATCTCGATATAAAGAGAACTTAAGAGTACGGAAGTCACCTGAGGAGCTGCAGAAGGTTTTCTAGCGATGCCTGCGGGTCCAGGTTGATCTCCATCGCTCATATCAGCATCGTCCATGGTCACGTCGGCATCGTCAACGGTAGGTTCGACGCTGGCAGATGCTGCTGTGGTACTTTCCCCATCGACCGTACCGGTTCCACAATTGGCGACAGTGGAGCTCTTCTCGATATCCGTCACCGATTTATGTACATCATCTTTCGTTTCGGACTTTACGGTAGGATAATAGTCCCGAGCTTCTTCGCCTAACTAAACACAGGAAGATACAGTAAAACCAAGAGGGAAGGAATGCAGACAGAAGTGTATATGTAGGATAGAAATAAGTTTTAAAACTGACCCTCATGCCGTCCGAGACGTCCGGTTTCACTTCGGCGCCAGCTGGAGCACGTGTAGAGGTGGATCCGCTAGCAGGTGGGCTCGACGTATTGGGCACTTTCTGAAAACGTCGTCATGATGGAACAGAAAAAGTCTCGAGCTGTGTAGGTTGGAGGAGAGGCGAAGGAACGGGACTCAATATAGAGGTCAGTAGTGGTTTTGACTAGTGTAGACCCCCTCCAGTAGGTATCCTGTACCCTCGAGTTGGTAGGTATCTTGTATTGGACCCTTTTGGGAGATGGGTGGTCTGGGTAGGAAAAATCGGAATTAAAATGGGCCCCACCTCTCCAACCGTAACAGCTTTACTACTACGAAGTATTCGCGAGTAAACACGATGAACACAGGCATACAAACTCACATTCACAGAGGGGGCACCATCGACAACACCAGTACGATCATTCGAATGAACATCGCTCGGAATACTGGTCGGCGGAGTTTTCGATGATGGATTCATGTACAGAACAGAAATAGAACTGGCTAGTAAGGAGGAAATCACATACAGGAGGATTTTAAAGAGTTGATTCTGAAAAACCAAACAATTCTAACTTAAAGAATACCAGTAGTCCGATTGAATTCAAAATGTAAGACGCGACCATATCGCCTAGTGTTTGTGACAGATTGTGTTATCTTAAGCTCTTCACTGCTGAGTCAGGGTGAATAACGTCAATAGTTGGAGGAGAAGTAGAACTTCAAGGTCAACGAGTTAAACCCGTTTTGGACCTCCCGTTAATGCCACCTTGGAGAAAAAACGCGCCCCAACCCATAGAACGCAACGCGACCGCGGAATTTCATCTCGGGTTCATTTCATGATTTGGTTTCTTTACAGCTGAATAAACTACAAATAAATCAACAAAAATCAAAAAGTAATCGTAAATATAAATAAAGAGAGAGCAAGTACTACGAATAAACGCAATATTTAAAGTCCATAGCTCTAAAAAATCACTACTCCGTTACTAAAAAAGCGGTTTCAATGAATTAAAAAACGTGAATTAGGGGACGACGGGAGGGGTAAAAGACCAAATAGACTAACACTAGTAGTTACCCATTTCTTCAAACTGTTTCTACCTTTCTTTTCAAAATAGTACCACAAATAAAAAAAAAAGTTTGATAAGAAAAATGTTAAGGAATTAAATAATCTCACATAAACCTAGTAAAAATATTTTCTGTTGTGGTTAAGAGACGGCCGTTGTGAGCGAAATCGTGGATGGGGACTTGGTATTAGTTGAAACAGAAAAAATAAAAAATAAAGGGCCGTCATGGGCCCCATGAAGGTAAGTAAACAGAGATTACATCATAGTAAAAATTCTTCTTAAATACATGAGCACTGATGAGATATGGACTCATACCAGCCCTAGTCATTTGTAGGCTTCCAGTGTTTCCAATTTATTTTGGAAATTTATGTCAGAAACGAGGGAAAATAGAGAATGAAATAAATATCGGGTAAACAAAACCCTTAGTCCTATAATTGTTTACCTATTTACAGAAAACCAGGGAATAATGTATACTTTTTTTTCAGAAAGCAGCGATTATTCCACGATGACTAGGGTTTGGATGAATAGCCAGGAAACCCAGCATTGAGCGACGCAATGGTCGCGCGGTTCCCCGCGATACCAGGTAAAAACTCTCGCCGCGGCGTCAATTTCGCTTCTCAACCCTCTTATCTGACGCACTCTTTTGTTTACTCTCAACCATCTGGTGTCTGACCCCAACGATCGCGTTTGGACGAACGAAACGTTCGCTCGCGTGCTTAGCCATCGCGTCACCGTACGCTGGCGTGTTGTTGGATTAATTGAATGGAACTCGACGTACATTTAATGAATTATTTTAGTGTTAGCAAGAATCGGTTTGGAACGGGATTTTTGTATTTTCAGAGGAACTCACACCCTCCACTCGGATAATTAGAGAGATTTCATTTCACAGCATTACAACTCTCTACAAAATCATTCTAGCGAAATATGGCATCAGAGATAAAAAAAGAATTGCACAGATTCCTTTGAAAACTAGGTCAGTACTGCTCGAGCAACAAGGACCATGCTGGTGAAATAAATGGACCACAGGGTTCGAGTTAGAACAGTGGCTAAGGCCCTACTGGCAGGGGCATGACCCGCTTATAGCATCCATCTGCGTTAAACAGCTGTTCCACCTCTTGGGAGCCATTTTTTGGAGTGATGCCTTTGTCGGAGTAGAGACATTATTCTACAGTAGCTCTTTCTATCGGTGCAGTGATTCCCAACTATCCGAATGCATGGCGTATTCCGCCCAAAGAGTGGAACCTTACATATTGTATTCCCGAATACAAGCCTTTCTCCACAACTGTACGTGTTCTACAAGTTTATCATTCGAACTTTACCAGGTTGGCCCATCGGGACAGCTTATGGAATTCGTCGTGATGGCGCGGAATTCGGTGGATGGACTGGAAACTGGCCGCCTAGGGGACGGTTACGGTCGGTCGCATGGATACTCCTCCAGGTGGGTCGAGGTTTTGAATCGAAGGGGGAGGGCAGATCGTTAGCTAGAACCCCACATAATTTACGGCTTGAGAGGTGCACCCATACTAATCCCAATCCCAAGCAAATCCTTCCCTCATTTGTTCGGCACCCTGAGAGGCGTACTTATTTCCAGGGCTTCAAATAGACAGGATCAAGCTTATGGTGGTAACCAGTAAGAATCCTTTGTATTTTTTATATCAACTAGGTATCAAGTAAGACTAATACTAAAATTT